ACTGATCATGTCATCATATATCAAATATTTTAAATTTCATAACAGTAATTAACACATAGAAATGTTTTAATTATCCCTTTTTTGACACTGGATTTTTTTTAATCCATTTGGTTTAATTATGAGGGATGTTCAACAAAAGTGAAATTTTGAAAAATTCTTTTATATTATCCTTTCTGACCTTGAGATGGAAAGTAGAGTTGGTGTTACCGAGGAAAGTGACTAAAACCTTTCTTTCATATAATGAAGGATTTCTATGTCATTTTAAAGGAAGGTATTAAGTATCCAGATTGTACTCTGCTTTGTTGCCTCTGGTTTAACTGAAGGTCATTCCTGGTTTCAGAGATTAAAATCTGGGCAAACCAGCCTCTCGGTGTTGGGAAGAGCTGCTGTGCACGTTTTAAAATCTGGAAGAGAATGCCACACTAATCTCCTTATCAGCATCTTCACTTGGCCAAGAGGGTAAATTATATGTGCTACTTCCTACACTACTATCTATCATGAAATATGAGACCAAAAATGAATAGATCTCATCTTATGACCACTTGGATTCAACATGCAGATTTATGCACAGTGACATGTAAATTACAGTGCTCAGTATATCTTTGAAAATCTAATTATAATATATGATGTTTTAGCCTAGCAATAAAAAGAAGGGAAAGCTGATCTGTAGATTTCCTTGGCATATATAACCACATTTCTACCCCAGGATACATACTTAGAGGGTAATTATTTCTTGGTAATTTTAATTTTTGATTATTTTCTGGACTTTGGACATATTAACCAGTTGTTAGCCAAGTTGTAAATGTGGAGCTGTTTTTATTCCTACTTTCTTCTCTTTGAATGCTTTTTCTAAGAATCCTGTTACCACCCTACAAACTGTTTACATTTCACTTTCTCAGTGAGCATTCTTTGACCAACATCAATCAGGTCCTCCCCTATTATTCTATATCTCAATGGCATGTTTATTTTTTTTACAACACTTTGTATTCTCAACTAGTCTAAGATCTTAATTATGAGTACCATCATCATGAGCCCAGTTACCATCTCCCTGCATCTCCTCTCATGCCACTCTTCCCTCACACTAGTTTCCTGGATGTTCCCCGCATGCCCATGTGAGTTCATTTTGAGCACATTTCCCCAAACATCTGCAAAGTTCGCTTCTTCATTCTTTCAAGGCTCTTCTCAAATGTCACCAACTCAGTAGAACCTTTCTTGATGACTTCATCTAAAACAACAGCCCCCATAATTCTCCTTTATCCAGTTTTCTTCTTTCTCCCCAGCACTTATAATTGTCTTTGAATGTGTTCTTCTCCATTAGATTTTATCTGTTTTGTTCATTGGCACCACCACAGTGATTAAAACAATATTTGGCAGAAGTCTGGCACTCGTTACTTATTTGTTAAATTAGATAATAATATCTTATTTGTTATTTGTCTTCCCCACTAGACTCTTAAAGCAAGAAACATCATTTCTGGTATTTCCATAGTACCTTGCATTTAATAGATGATAAATGAATAGTGAATGAATGAATGAGTTGTTTGCTTGTATGTGGATGTATTTTATAATCTCTCTCCTGCAATAGGCCCTAATTTACAAAGATTAAAATTATACCTGTTTAGTTCCTCAATGCACACCAATCCCACAGTAGGGTCTGTTTATATAATAGGCACTCAATAAGTAAATGACAAATATCATGGACTGGGACCAGAGGGAAAAGGAACCTACCCTGGTCAGAGTCAGTCTAATCCAACAATTTAGTAGCAGATGGAAAAGAATTTGGAATACACTCAGAGCCATGAAAGCCCTAAATCACCTGTTCAGCCTTTTGGAGCCTAGTCTAGACCAGGTCTCTCTGCTTCCCAGAGGGGATCCAAGGACTTCTGAGCTTCCTACTTTAAGATGTTATCTTCTGAATTCTAGGAGGACTTAATCTTAATTTTGATCCATAGTTTTGATTTGCTTGTTTAGACCTTGCTCTGAAGATTCCACGTGTTTATGATTCTACTTTAGGATACCAAAGGACTCAGAACAAGAAAAACTATATTTTATCTTAAAATCTCCAACTATGTGGTAGAGTAATTTTGAAAACATCTTGTCATCATTGTTTTATGTTCTCCATTTGTAAAATGAAGATTCTGGAGAAGAATCAGCAGCTGTAAAATTATGGATTGTTTTCAGACTCACCTAGATGCCCTGGGGAGGCTTTGTGAAGCACCTTCTTCCCTTCCTTCCCTATGCCCACCTATCATAAATCTTGGTTAAAAAACATAGCCTTGGTGAGTTACTATTATTGCTGAGAATCTATTGCGTGCATAGGGGAAAAGAGCAGTTAAAAACCATCAGTATGTGTTATCTTTATCATCCTTTACAGAGCCAAAATAAGACTCTATGAACTATACCTCAGTTCACCACTAAATCCCTATATTTAACAGTGCTTGACTTACTGCTGTCTTTTGTTTATTTGTACAAACAGACTTTTTAAAAAATCCTACCATGTCAGGGATGATGACAGGCATTGAGAATTCAAAGATGAATTCAGAAATGAACTCTTCCCTTGAGGAGCTCCACCCACTGGGGAGACAAATGCAATAAGAGTGTGATAAAAGCTTCCATGAAACCAAAGCAGTGGGGAAATTTAGAGCACTTCAAAGGGTACCAAAGCAGCCTGGGAGAGGAATGATTTGGAAAATCTCCCAGTAGGTGACCAAACAGAGTCTTAACTTTAATTAGTTGAATTATAGACTGCTAAAGCTGCACAGTGTCAGAATCATTTAGTCTAAACTCCTGATGTGGCACAGAGGGAAACTGATGTCTAAAGAGGTTAACTGATTCATCCAAAGTTGAGTACCAGATTTGCAACTGGGAACTAAACAAGTAGTATTGGGCTGCTTCTTTTAACACACACTTTCCAAAAGGGAAAGTTCTAGGATCCTTTATTCCATGAATTTAATGATGAAATGAATCAATTAATTGATCATTAATGTATTATCATGATGTGATAGAAAAATACTTGTTTATATTGAACATGTGCAGCAGTGATAACAATAGCCCATCATTCCTAGTAGGTTACAGATCCTGTGGACTGCTGGTGATTGTATTCAGATCTAGGCATAATCTAACCCAGTTCCTTTCTGAGCTCATGCATGGACCCAATCACACCAAGAAGAACAGGTACAATTTGAACATGAACAAGAACAAACTTTAGAATAAATCCATATCTATTCAGTACCACTTCTTAGTACATGCTGAGGCATGTAAAGGCTAAGATAAATCCTCCAGAAGTGAAATATCTTTATTAGTAGTAGTAAAAAGCGGATATAAAATTGCTCAGGAATAAAATCTTTGTGGAGAGTTTGATCCAAAGGTAGTTGTTTTACTTAGAATGTTTAATGACTGTAATTTAGTAATGGGACAATATAAGCGCCCATCACATTAAAATAGAAATACTTGGGAAATCCACAGTTTCTAATAGCTTGCCATCTGGCTCTTACTGGCAATGGATCTATCCTGCTTAGTGCAGAGGATGATATTGGGGCTGAAATCATGGATTATACAATGGATTTCTGAGCTCTTAACTATTTCTAATTTGTTACGTTGTGAATCAACATTTTCCAACATAAAATCAATCTTTTATCATTTAAAATAAATTTTTAAACTCTTATCCCAAGTAAGGTTGCTATGGGCACCACATAACATCTGGCGCCGGCTGATTGAGTTAAAGACATCCACTATCTCTCCAAATTAAAAACCTCAAACTGAGTTCACTGACTTTTGCATTGTACTCATTGCAAGTATGCTCTTTTGCTTTGCTCCACTGTCCAGTTTTATCCGTTAGAAAGAAAAATTTTAGAAGGCCATAGACTAAATCATTTGCCTCTTAACACATCATTTCCAAATGGCCGCCCCGGGTCCTAAATCCGGCCGCTGCGGACAGGGACTAGCGGGTGCCCTCTCTCTGCAGAGCCATGGGACTCGAGCGCCTTCATAACTGGACGTCGCAAGCCAGAAAGGAAACGCGATCACATAGGTACAGGTATAAGCCCGCATGGGTGCACCAGAGAGGCCCTGATCCCAGCGGATCACCCATCCCTGGGCTGGCGGAGGTCTTGGGGAGGAAACAAACACTGTTTCCCCATTTAAGTCAGAGGGCAGAAAGCTTGGGGTCGCAGGTCAGAAGTTAAAATTTAACCCAAACTGTGCTTTGTCCCCGTGCCTAGGGACACCGCGGCTGCACCTAGCTGGGCGAGAACAAGGTTGGCTGGGATGTGAGAAACAGAGTTGCTACCACTCTGGAGCTGCAGGAGGAGAGAGCAACGCGACCCCCAGCGCAGTCCGGACGCGAGGCTGGGAAGAGCGGGGCTCTGCTGCCGCGATGCGGCGTCAGGACCCGGGCACGGCTGCCCGCACTCCCGTTGCCCTTTCAGCAGAGGGCAGCTCCCTGCCGCGGCAGCACAGTCGCTGGGCGCTTGGCCACCCCACAGGAGCGCCCTGACCGCCTCTGGGCGGCCTCCTGGGCACCAGCCGCTGGACCAACCCTAGTCCTCCTACGCAGGGACAAACTTCCTTTCTCTTGGGCCGCCTGACCGTGCAGGTTGGCAGGCGACTCCCTTGCCAGTCTTTCTGCTCTCGGGCCAAGCGAGCTTCCTCTCTGCTCCTCTCCAACCCCAAGCCCCGGGCGCCTAGCGGTCCCCGCTCATCCACTCCAACAAAGCCCGCGGCCGGGAGGCGACCCAGTGAGGGGCTGGGAGTGGCGGCAGGGGCTTCAGAACCGGACCAGCACCCCTCGCCCGGGCGAGTAAAGCACGAAGGGGCAGCAGGGACAAGGCGGGGAGAAAAAGGGGAAGAAAGTATCCCGCTCTAGGCGCGAATGCCTTCTTGGGTGTCCTCGCTCTTCCTGCTCGCCCTGCCCGAGCGCGTCCTGCTGTCCCGGTGGGAGTTGTCAGGGGCAGAGGCGGCAGCAGAGGGGGCGCAGTGGCCTGGCGGGCGAGCCGCTCCCTTACCTCTGTCCAGAGTAAGCGGCTGGACCACTGTCAATGTCGCCATGTCTGCCGTGGGAGCCGAAGTGACGCTCAGCTTCAGCATCAGCAACCGCTTGTAGTGAGAAAAAGAGGAGGAGATTGGGGGCGGGGGTGGAGAGGGAAGACGGAAAGGAGGGGGAGGAGGGGGAAGGCAGGAAGGTGGTGGTGGAGGAGGAGAAGAAAGCTCGGGTGGGTTGACAGCCAGATGGAGACGCAACTGTTCCGTGGCAGCAGATCTTCAGACGCGGCGCTTAGTGGAGCAGGTATCCGAGAGCGACTGCATCGCCAGGCTCTGGGAAGGAAGGCTCTGCCCTAGAACTTTGCTCTTCCACCCCTAGGAGCGCTGAGTGGGTGTAGCTGTGTGGCTTTCTTTGAACTTTCCACTCAAATGGTCAGAATATACGTGCTTGGGGAAGAGGGGATGGAAACACGGGATATGGGAGAAGGAGGTGAGGAGATGGTTTCCACCCCCCCCCCTCCCCCAGATCAAGAGAGTCAGCCCAGTAATCCCATTTGCTTTAGAGAGAAACTGCTTCTAGTGCCAGAAATGTTGGGATCTAATTGTAGTTGCTGTTAATTTCTGTTAAAGTTTTTTGGAATGTTGACATATAACAGTACACAAGATAACTGACGTAATACCAGAATTCCTTCAATAGGACTTGGGTATATTGCCCAGAAAATAACTTGCTTTAAAAACCAAACTTGTTAAAAATGCTTTTTAGTTGTAGTAGTAGTAGTAGTAATAATAATAATAATAATAATAATAATAATAGATCCGTTTCTATCATTAAATTTGAAAAATATTTATCTTGCACATTTTCACGTCTATCTATAACTGGCCTTTATTCAGAGGTGTCACTTATTGATGAATTAATGTGTGCCAGGAATTGAGTCAGGAGTGCTACATGCCATGTGCCGTACTCTGCGGATTGTGATTTAGTAGGTGATGTTATTAAAATGTCTACTTTAAAGTCAGTTGTTCAGGGTTCAGTTACTGGAGCCTACAAATACTGGCCATGGTTCCTTTCCCTGTCGGACAGTTGGCTTTCACTGGCTCACCACAGTAGGGACTCGTATTTTCTGATTGGTGTGAACATACTTTACATAGGGAGATACGAAAAATTGCACTCTATATGTGTAATAAGAATTGTAATGCATTCCACTGTTATAGTGTACTTAAAAATAATAATAAAAACCTAGTAAGACACTGAAAAAATTAATTAAAAAAAAAGAATTTAAGAAGTATAGAGAAACCTTCTGTAAGTATAATGGGATGCCATGGGTGCAGGATTGGAAATGACAAATGGCCTCTATCCCCTTTCCTGTGATAGAGCTGAGTTTTTTTTGGCTAGCAATGAACTTTTAAAAGCAGACACTGTTTTGTAGCAAAATATTTGTATATAATAAATGCTATTTTATTCTAATTATAATATTGATTATGTCTGAAGGTCTTTTCCATCTTATGGTAAATGGAAGAGAGAAAAAAAAGAAGCACATTTCACCAATGATTGAGAAAGTCAAAGATGATTGACTATCCATATATTTAAGAGACTCTAAAGACACTCAGGAATAGCTCAATAGGCCTATCTTTTAATTATTTTAGAGAGAACACTGATCTTGAAATTCAAGTCTTAGTTATGTGGTCTGCAGAAGTCACATCTCTCACTGATACTGTTTCCTCATCTGGCACACAGGGCAATTGTATCATTCAATCTCATAGACACTGTACAATGGGAGGAAACAAATTCTACCCTGCAATTTCACTGAGTTTCCTGGGGGATCTGATGGAATCATACACATTTTGAAAATATTAAGGAATATACAATTTTATTTGTATATACATATAATATACAAGCACATAACTCCCCAAACAGTGTGGCAAGCTCTGTGCTAGGCACTGGCCACAACTACAGAACGAGGTTGAATTTTGCTCGAAGATATTGGAGAGTGTTCCAAAGTTTTACATGAAATGTTAAAGCTCATTCAATAACTTCTATGAAAAGAACACACAAATACCTTGGCCACTGATGTATTTCTTTAAAAACATACTTTAGGGCTGGGGATGTGTCTCAAGCGGTAGCGCGCTCATCTGGCATGCGTGCGGCCCAGGTTCGATCCTCAGCACCACATACAAACAAAGATGTTGTGTCTGCCGATAACTAAAAAAAAAAAAATATATTAAAGTTCTCAAAAAAAAAATAAAAACATACTTTATTAGTAGCTTGATTCATAAATCTAAACATCATAATTGTACCTATTTCAACACAGATCTCAGATTGTGAGGTTATGAAAGCAAGATTTTTGACTTTGTTTCCTAATGGATTCCCAGCCCCTGATATTTCATAGCATGTTTCTTATGTCTTGAGCTACCTAATTGAAAATTTGTTCTATCATTCTTCCTTTGTGTTGACTTTGTAGGTCTTTCTTCCCTTTAAGGATTAAAAGGGAAGTTAAGGGGAAGCACAAATCACTGTACATTTACCTATTATTACTTCTAGTTGTAGCAATTTCAATATCTTTAATATATGTCTACACAAATGTAGAAAATGATCAGTAAATAATTGTTAGTTGGAATTCTTTTCATTAAGTATGAATAACAACTATTTTTTCCAATAATCTGTGAGTTCCTTTTTGAGACATTCAGATATACAAGGACATTTTATTAATCTCTTGTTTTGTTTGGGAGATGTGCCTATGCTTAAATATCAAGAATAAATGCCTGGTCACTCATATATCCACCATAAGGTTTCATCAAGGTGAATATACTTGAACTAATCACACACTGGGTTGCTTTGTGGTGTGTTGATTAGACAGTTGTTAAGATATCTGTAACTATGCAGCTATTTGGTTAAATAATCACCATGCTCTCTTATTAAAGGTTATGTAGTAGTTTACATCAGGGATAACTGTATTTTCAATGGAATTAATTATTCCATAAATACTAAGTGCCTTATATATTTCAGGTTTGATCCTTGATTAGCCTTTTTCACCCTTTCTTTCCAGGCTAGAAAAGTATGTATTCCCCTTGCCTTAGGAGGTTGAAGTAGGAGGATCACGAGTTCAGAGCCAGCCTCAGCAACTTATCTAGGCCCTAAGCAACTCAGTAAGACCCTGTCTGTGAATAAAATTTTTAAAAAATGGGCTGGGGATATGGCTCAGTTGTTTAAGTGTCCCTGGGTTCAACCCCCAGTATCTCCCCCAAATAATAGAAAGTGGATACAAGAATTTCTGTGCTTTCCAATAATATATAATCATGTATGTATGTATATACATGCAGATACATAAATATATGTGTGTTTATATGTACATATACACATATGTACACATGGTTACTTATCCCTTTTCTTTTTTGCTGTATTTGAGATATACCCAAAGAGAGGAATGCATGAAGGAAAGCTAGGTCAAAGGACAAAATAACTGATTCCAACCTATATAATATAAGTTAATATTAAAAACAACTACTTTGGAATATAAAAATTAGAAAATTCATTCAAAGCTGGTTAAGGTCTGTTTCACTTAATTGAAACTTTTAAAATTCTGTGACAAAATCACGAGAGGGTTTGCATAATGCATTAGCATACCAGGAAAATGTGTTTTGTTAGATTATAAATGTTGTATAATAAGCAACATTTTATATGAGAAAATTGCATCTTCATGCTGGAATTCTTTCAGCCTGGATGTTAAAATTTTTTTGAATGATTCAAGATATCACATTATCTCTTAATTCATTCAACTTTGTCAAAATAGCACAAGATTAAGAGGAAGTGCCAACCTATACTTTAAAATATAAATGTTTATGTTTTTAAATTCATCATAAATAGAGCATCTTACTATAATCCTTACATTTGTTTTGATAAGTACCTTTGTCTGTTGATTCAGTAGATTCTTAGTATACTTACTCCATGCCAACTATTATTCTAGGCATTGAAATATTGAAGTGAATAAAAAGAAATCTCTGTACTTATACAAGACAGAAGGAAAATAAACAACGAACAACAAAATACAATTAGTGAATAAGTACTGCACAAAAAGTGAATAAGTTGACTATAAGTAAAATATTGTCAGAAATTACAAAAGACAGAAATAGGAAGAAAGGCATTCTAGGAGTGGATGAACAAAGCCAAGATTCTTGGAAGAAGAGACACAATCAGTAGTTGAATGTGGACTGTCAGAAAAAATAGATGAGCCTAAGGAGGGCCATTGAGAGTCAGGTGGTGGAAGGTAATATAATTAACAGAGATCTAATGAATCTTTTAAGAATGACTTTGTGCCCATCATAATACAAAATGTATAAATTTAATCCATGCTAAGAAAAAATGTGCTGTAGCATCTGTGTTAAAAATTACTAATATAGAAGCAAATGTAGAGTTACTAATTTAGAGTTGAATGTTAGAAAACTAAAGATGAAAATATTAAAAGTCAATTCTAATTAATTTTCATTTTCTTCAAAAAAGTAAAAACTTTGAAAAGAAGAAAGCTGAATCTGAATAATTATTCTTTAGTTGTAGGGTCTTATTTACATTATCTTACATTGCCAATTATCATGCAAATCATAACAGTAGTAATTTTTATTCTAATTCTGCCATAGGCAATAACATATAATTCATAAGTGCAAAGACTTCTTTGCTTCTTGATTATTTTATTTAAACTTATTTAACTCATGAAATATAAAATGATATTTTCTTTTGTTTTAAAGTGGACTTTTTTTCTATTTTCACTGTTGGAAGTTATGATTAATCTTTTAGTGATAAAATTTTAAATTCAAAGCTTGTAATCTTTTTTCTTTTTTCTTTATGCATTTCAACCTCACTTCCACCCAAACTCATATTTAAATCTCTAAGGAAAACCTATGAGATAAAAAAGATACAAGACAGATTTTTAAAAGCGATACATGAGTCATCTCTTGTCACATTTTCCCAGGAGATTATTTTCAAATTATTAGAACACATACTATATAACAATTTAAAAAATATTTTTATTATCATTGTCACCCTAAAATTTTTATATATTTAAGTCGAAAGTTATACTTTCATCCACTAAATGTTTATTAAGCACCTGCTATATGCCAGGCGCTGTTCTCTGCCTGGAGATTAGTTTTGATAGAAAATAAATATAATCAACAAATCAATCTTAAGTAATGGGGAGCACAAACATTAGTAGCATTGGTGTTCCAAAGCCTGTTCACACTGCTACATGAGACCTGGTTATGTGCATCTTGTCCTAACATCACTTTCAGTGACACCACATTGGAATCTTTGAAT